GAATGATTCATGCTGGTATGTCCTTGTGTCTTTAAGAATCCATCGGGTTCTTGCTGTTAGCTAATATAATTTATAGGTCTGATGATTATGACGGTCTGCCTGGACAACCCAAAAGGCTACATCTGTAGGGTGCAATGTGGTGAACTAATGGAAGTTCCGGATAATGCAGAAAATTTTCCTGACATCCTCACAATTCTCGCATCTGTTCTGATCATAAAGGTTAGTTAAATTCATGCTTTTCACCTAATGATTACATCTGCACTAATATAAGCTGATGTATTTATGAATGTTAGGCTGTGGTTCAAGAGATAATAAAGACAGTTCAAGCAAAAAAACAAACAGTCAAATCATTTAAAAGGGCCGGGTTTCGAAAACGACCTCGAAACAAAAATGAGCACCGAATATCTCCGTGTTTATCAACTCCGAAGAAGAAGAAGGCTAAAGTATGCGCAAAAGCATAACCGAGAAATCAAATCCATCATCCCCGTGTCCTGGATCGCCATCGCAAGTATCTGATTTATTCTCATACTTGGAATAGGTTTGGAATGTAACATTTTTCGCATGTCATAATATTTTGTGATAACAATAAAAAATAAATCTAATATCATGTTCAAGAAAGAACCGGATATTTTTTCCGTATAATACGGAGAGCAAAGTCTGATTACCGTATCACGCGGCACACGACCTAGTGTCAAGTTGCGCATCCTTTACGTAGTAACATATGCTTGTAGTACATCCCGAAATAGATTTAATAGATCATTATCATACAACGATTATCCCGATTATCGACATTCCCACGCTTCTTTTTTTCGCGAAAGTATACGCTATTCTTCTTGAGTAGGATTGGCTCTAGGATTATTCTTAACGGCTCGTCGAATAGTGTTGCTTTTGATTTCCTCGCCTATTAGATATTACAACAAGAGTTATTATTATATAATTTCGTGCACCCGCACGGCCGTGCACCCCCATGACGTAATGCATTTTAGCAGGTGCGAACTATTATGTA